CTTTTATGTAATTTATATAAATTTAATTTTGAGTTTTTCAATGTTTTTTTTTTATAATAGAAAAGTAACATCAAAATCGTTAATAAATTCCATTTTATTTCCAAAATTTCGTGTTTTGATGAAATAGAAAATGAAAATTATTTAATTCTTGAACCCACCAAAACTAATTTTGTCGCTTTTTTATTATTTTTACAATACACAAACAACAAGCAACACAAAAAATTACAGTTTTATTTTTTTGTGTGTTTTATGAAAAATAAATTTGGATTTTCTCAAGACATTTTACAAATTCGACTATTTTGTTTGTGAGTTTTTTTATTTGTTTTACCTACTATACTGTATTATATTTTTTTCTATTCGTTATTTCTCTTTTTGTTTTTCGTTTCTTGATTTGAAATTTTCAAAGTAAATTAGAAAAATTCAGGAATTTTGGCAATTTGACTATTTTTTTATTCGGTAGGCTAAATAGGCAGTAATAAATTCTTAAGTTCTCTTTTTGACGACTTTTGTCAGGTAATTTTTATTTATTTTGACTTCTATTTGGTCTTGTTACTAAAATTTTAAATATAATTCCTATAAAACAACAAGGTAATTCATAATTAAGCGTTATCTTCATTTAATTTTCAATATTTATGTCTCACTGATAAAACCGGAAATGAAATGTAATGTTAATTAATTAAAGTTTTGCTAAAACAGGTAGGTAAATAATTAAATCTGCACCAGTTTTGTTGCGTTTTGTCTATAATTTTCTAATATTTTTTACAGAATTTGACTTGTGATTTATTTCTAAATAAATTTTTCATTGTTTCCGCTTTTAAGAGAGCACTTATTTAAAATTTTATTAGTAATAATTATGAAAACGTTGACCGGGAAAGTTTTAGCTGGAGCAACTGGGTAATACACAACCTATTTAACTTCTTTATTTTTCAAAGGCCGAATGACGCAATAATCCCGTCAATTATCGATATTTTTCACACTTTTATACTCGTACCAACCAACGCAATTTCTTTTCAAATCAATTAGAGCGTAATTTTTCGCACTATCATTGCAATTTTTTTCAAAAAATCGGCACGCACGCATCTTTATCTTTACAACCGAGAAAATTTGTTTATGCGTTTAGAAATCGTCTTCCTAATTAGAAGAACAATTGACCGAAATTAAAAGTGTGGGAACCCTCTTCAAGCAGTGAAAACTGGAGTAGAATCCAATAATTTATTCTCCAAAAATTCACCAAAAAATTCAACTTTCACTTGAAAATTTCTCAAAATTCTTCGACTAACCTTTGAAATAATCCCTCATTTGGTTAACCCTATGGTCACATTTGTCACAAATCACAATTTCAGCGTCTCATCGCGCGGTATAGCACTCAACACCGTTTCTTGCAAGTGACTGACTTTTGTTGTGGAGTGAATTTCTGTCACGGTGCTTTGGTACGACGGAAAACGGTTTTGGTGCTGTTGATTTTTTAAATAGGAACGTTTTGGTCACTTTCGATGCGATTTGGTGTGGTTTGAGATGGGCTTTGTTGCGGTTGGGACTGATAATGAGAAGAATTGTGCAAACCGCAAATTTGATTGATTGCATTTTGCGGGTATTTGAGAGGTGGAGTGAAGCAATTTGGACGGTTTTTCAAACGGGGAGGCCTACGGCTTTCTAGCTTCGGTGGAAGGTTATTTTGCATAACTTTAAGCGAAAAAGAAAGATTGCTTGATAATTCAGGAAACGGTTTTCAGCATTTAGAGTTGTTACAAAGATCAAAATATTTCATTTTTATCACATACAGGAGTCCCAAAAATAACTGAAATAAAACGTAGTTTCTGTGTTTCTAAAAAAATGTTAAAAAAAGGATTTTCAAAGTATTCTGAACCAGAAAAAATGTTTTCCTGTTTGTTTTATAAAGATTAACTTTGGATTTTCTCAACATTTTCACAGGAGGTTTTTTGTTTAATTTTTTGTTACTACAAGAATTTTTAATTTGAAAATTTAATTTAAACCCCTGATGCTTAATAAATTTTTAACAAAGACCATAAGTGACTTTTTGCTCAATTTTATGTGAGCACGAATCATTTTTCTTACTTTTGTAGAAAAGTTGAACTTTTTTTGTTATACACTGAATGTATAGTGTCGAAAAGTCGCGTTTTAAGAAACGCAGTATTTCATATTTTAAAGTAGGCACTCGATGGGAGTAGAGGAAGTAAAAAAATACTAAATTAAGAAAACAGGAAATTTGAATTAAAATGTGTACTTACTTTTTTAAGTTTATTGTTTTTACATTTTTATTAAAAGATTTTTAATAAAAATGTTGTACTCACCTACCAGAATTTCTTGAAATACAAGCAGTAGATAAAAATTACTTTATTTCACTAGGCGATAAAAGACAATTTTATCTACTGAAATTAGTTGAAAAAAGCACTCATTAACATTGAGTACAAAATAAAATCTTTATACATTCTTCGACTTATAATGAAAATCTAAGTAAAAGACCAAGAAATAAATTAAAAATCTTTAAAAAATTAGTGAGAAGTAAGAAACAAATAACTGTCAAAAATGACAATTTACGTTATTAAATGAATCATTTACATTTTTCAAGATTTTCACATGTGATTTTTTATTCAATTTTTTGTTACTACATACAAGAATTTTTAAAATATTTTTGAAAATCCAATCTAATCTCGTGATTTTTAATAATGATTATAAGCGATTTTTTACTCAATTTATGTGAGCATGAAGCATTTTTCCTACTTTTTTAAAAATTAATTAAAAAAATCTTTAATGTGTTCAAGTCGAACTTTTTTATTATAAACTGAATGCAGTGTCGAAAAGATGCTTTTTAAAAAACGCAGTATTTTATATTTTAAAGTTGGTTCTCGATGGAAGTAGAGGAATTAAAAAAATACCAGATTTCAAAAAAAGCCAGTTTGTATTAAATTGTGTACTTTTTTCTAGTTTATTATTTTTATTACAATTTTTTTTATTTCCATCCTTCGATTTATTACGAAAATATAAATAAGACAGATAATTAATTGAAATTCGTGAAAAAAGTAGTGACAAGTAAAATACAAATAACTGTCAAAAATGACAATTTAAGTTATCAAATGAATCAAGTGGCAATTCAATTTATGAAGTTCATTTATTTTTCAAACCTAGGTTTGTAAAAATATAGGAAACTCTTTGTTCATTTATTATTAAAAATTGTAATAATTATTTTTTCAAACAGTAGATTTTGCTTTAAAAAAATTTTTTTGACCAAAGTGGCCAAAAATTGTAATATTAAGTTGGCACCATGTAGAGTACAAGACATGAAAATTGCCACTGTGACTATGGAGTTAAGTTAGAAACACCGAATTGTTGGTGATATCAAAGTGTGTCAGGTGACGGCCATGTCAGCAAAAGTGTGACGTTTGAATGTTGCCAACTTAATTTCAAAGTCGTAGGACACAATTTATTTGAAAGCATGAGATTTTCTGTATATTTTGTTCAATGTTGCCGAATTAATTTCAAAAAAACCTCTATACAACATGAAGTGTATTGCTGTCATTTATTTTATGAGGCAACTAAAAAAATCTTATTAGCATAACCTGTGAACAAAATTAGGTTTTTAGATAACAAAAAATAAAATTTACTCATAATACACAGTGACGCTTTTTTATCACTGTTTTCTTTGCAAATAAAGGCTCTTCTTATTTTTGTTTATTTTTTTCACCTTTTTTTGCTTCTTAAATAACGTTCAGGTTTTAAAAAATAAAACACACAAGTTTCAATAATCGTCTATTATTTTGCCGTAATCTCTTAACAATGAGATTAAAAAAAAACTAAAAAAATACCAATAGTGCTAATCTGTTTTAAAAATTTAGAGAGTATTTTCGCAAAGTCTTATCATCTTCTCTCCCTCAATCAATGATGATTAATTTTCAACTCCTCCAACTCTCTTTCTTCATCAACCGAATCGCTTTCATCATCACTGCCATGAAGGGACGCCGCTGGGGTAGTCACATGACTCGAACTCGGCGACGGGGGCTCCGAAAAAGGCCTCGGATATTTCAAAGTTCCAACACCATTCTCCATTTCCTCTTTATAATCCGGGAACACGTTGTGGAGGGCCTTCATACGCGCTTGCCTGTAGTACTACCACAAAAATTAAATACTTCAATACTGCCAACTTAATTTTCACATACCACTCCCAGACTCCTCCAATCAAGCATATCGCTGAGCCGCTCCGTCCTATTCCGTTGAATTATCCTCTGACGTCGATTCAATCGTGCAAAATCGTACATATATTGAGCCAATTGCTGGACGGTACCTTCCAACGAGATATACCGACGATCCACGACGTAGATTCCGTACGACATCGGATCGGCAATATGCTCCTGCATGAAACACCCAAACCCGGACAAATTCGTCGTGATACTGGGGATTCCCATGACGGTACACTCGGCTGGCGTGTACCCCCATGGCTCGTAATAACTCGGGAAAACCCCCAAGTGGCACCCTCGGACAAACTCCTCGTAATCCAACCCGAAAAGTGGGTTAGTCGAGGAGAGAAACTCAGGGTGGAAGACAATCTTAACCCTGTCATGTTTTGTATTGAATAAATTGCAACGTCGCACACTATTCAAAACCGGGTCATTCCAATCATCAACAATATTATGCGTTGTCACCGGCGGTAAACCATCTCTTTGAAGCGAAAAAATACACCGCTTCAGGCGTACCAACTCCTCTTTTTTGAGCAAATCATCACCAGGGAGGTGTCCACTGAGACAAATCTCGTACATGCGTTTCCCGATTCGGTTCTGGATCTCGCTGATGGTGTCTCGGAGACTCTTAGTGACAGCATGTCCACGGAGCGACTCTACATTGAAGTTGTTAGTCCGTGCTGGAAAAATAAGGAAAGCCACGACGGTGATGTCCGGGTGTGTGGACTTGAGGTAGTGATTAAGACGTGCCAAAGCCTCGATGAAGATGTCGGCACCTTTATTAGAAAATTCGTAACGACCAGCGATGAAAAAATAGAGAGTTTTATCGAGATCGAAGTCATAGTGGCCGTAGAAATGCCCTCGGATGAACTCGTGGATTTTCTCCTTGGAGATGGCGTGCAGGTTTTGGAATTCGTGCAAAGCGGAGAATTTCTTCACGTTGAGACCGTTGGGGGTGATCACGTCAGGTTTGCGTTTAAGGAGGTGCTCCGCCTCGAAACCTATGACAAAACTGCGATTTTTGTTTGATCAAAATTACAGTTACCTGTAATGTCCGACACCGTGGTAAAGACGTGTGCTAGGTGTGTGGCAGCTCTCTCAATGCAATACCTGTGATAAATCTGTCTTTTCCCCGCCTCCTCATCCACACTAAACTAAAACAAGTCAATGAGCCCCGTCATTGTTACAAAACCGGCCTTACCTTGTCTAAATTGTTATAGAAGTCTGTATTACCGGCACATAGATACCGTCCTAGCAACGTCGCATGTGTGGTAAACACTGTGGCTACTTTAACTAGTCTTGTTCTTAGGATAATTAACCCGACTCCGGCTTGCCATTCGTGGAAATGCGTGACAATTCGTGCAGGAACACCGCCACCATACTCATCAGCGTACGTTTTAAAGGTGGCTATGAAATCGGCAACCATGTAACCGAGGATAATGGCATCGTTGGTTTCGATGTCGAGATGGGGGACTCCCACGTTGCATTTTTCCCACAATTCGGTCTTGTATTCGTCGAGTTTCCATGCGGCTGAGCTGATGTCCATGAGGATGACTTGGGGGTTGCCATCGACGAGCCAACGGCCGGTGTGGATTTTAAAACCGCGATCGCGGAGGGCTTGCACGGCCTCGTTGAGCGGCTCCGCCCCTGTGCCAAATTAATAAATGAGCCAAGTTACAGATTTCTTTTTTACCCAAAGGCCCTTCTTCCACTTCGGTCCTCGCATAGAACTCCTTGTAGGGTCCGATGAGGCAGTACTGGTCCCCCAACTCCTCAGTCGAGACGTACGATTTGGACCGTATGACTGTGTAAATGCCTCCGACTTTGTTCGCCGCCTCCCAAGCTATTTCAAAATTCCAGCGGTTCTCCTCCTCGGCTTGGGTGCCCCGGTCCATGCAAGCCATGAGGTTGAAGTAGGACTCGGAACGGTAAAACCTTTTCGACGATGTCTTTTCACGCGACATTTGGACACTTTTACGACCACCGGACACGAAAAGCTATTTACCGACGATTTTCAGTCAACTTTTTTCGAAAATAAATCAGCGATCGAAATGCATAGTTTGAAATGATGTTACGCAGAAAATGACAAGGAGAGGAGATGGGCTATTGCACGGGAGCGAGAGTGATAGAGAGGGCTTATCGGGTCGAGAAAACTCGTGGTGGGGTGTAGAGGTGACCTTGGTGCCCGAGGTGGACATACAATGCCCAATTTTTTCATTACTATCAATAATTTTTATAACTATATGTTTAAAATGCAATTATTTTGTTATCAGAAGGGGATTAAACTTTTTTTTAAGTTTTTATGAATGTTTTAAGGTTATGTCACTTATGTTTATTTCGGGACGCACAAGTGCGCACGTGGCCAATTTGTTTATAAATAAATGTCAGATAAAGGCTGACCTTTGCAATTATTTCATCATTTCATAAATTTAAATACGTGTCCTAAAGTAACGCAATTACAGGAATCTGTAATACAGAAAACTGTAATTTTGGTCTTGTTAAATTCAAAATGGTGTGGGGTAGGTGATTAAGTCGTGTTAACTATCATCAGGTTTATTAATTCGAAAAATTATTTCATCATCTCTTATATACAATTGATAGAAAATATCAGAATAGAAAAACCTAAACGAATCTTTTTTGCACCTTGGACTAGAAATATCGGGTGCAAAATTTAACCAATCTTTAAACCTACGTAATAAATGCAATAAACGTAACAAGAAATATAATCGAGAATTTTTGTTACACATCGTCCCCCTCACCGTTGCCCTTTCGCCTTCTCATTTTTCATCCTTATCGTCTGCTTCTGATGCTCCATCTCAAAATCTTTTTCGCTCAAATCAAGTCGATAAATATTACTGATTAGATTTTGCTCCGTGAGGACCTCTTCTGGCGGATTCCTCAACTTATTCAACGTCTCGCATAACCCAGGACACTGCTTGCGACTTTTCGCCGTTCCGAGACAACTAATCAAAATAACCAACGCCGTCTTGAACAAAATCTTCACTCCTTCACACAGAAACACATCCCAAACTCTCAAGAGCGAATCCCACGGTAGTGTCCTCGTGAAAGCGCACAAGAACCATTCCGTGCAATAAAACATCGGTTCTGCATTGACTTTCTTCAAGTGTTTGTACGCTGCAGGACACACTTTCTTCAACAGCCCTTGGAGGATGAGACCATCACGTTGCACCACCTCCATGGTTGGAGAGTAATAATCCTCCAAATATCTGTCAGAGATGCTGACGAGACACCAGAAGGCTTGAACGGCCGGCATGTGCATTAGGAGGAAGGCGGCGACGGGGGCTTGCGCTTGACAGTAACCGATTTTGGGGTTTTGAATCGTGTAGGCTTTGAGGACGTTGAACAGTTCCGCTTGACCGGGCTTGTCTTCGGAACTGAACATTTCGTGAGTGGGGAATTGACGATGGATGTCTTTTTTAATGTCATCGATGCATTTCGGGTCGCCTTCGGCGCGGAGACAGTCTTCGTACACGTGCTCATTTTTGTCCATTAGGAGTTTGCCCCCGCAGAGGTAGAGCCAAGCGCGGGGGCGGATCGACATCGGGATGCCTGAAAACATTTATTTCATTCCAAAACTAAGTTGGCAACAGTGAAAATGAATGCAGTAGGTAGGAGTAGAAAAAAGTTACTAAATTAAAAAAAAAACAGGAAATATGTCATAACCTTATCCTATTATTATTTTTATATTTCTCAAGATTTTCACGAGCGATTTTTTATTCAATTTTTTGATACTATAAGAATTTTATAAAAAAAAATTGAAGGTTCAATCTAAACTCCTGATTTTAAAAAAAGGCTATAAGCGATTTTTTGCTCAATTTATGTGAGCATGAACCATTTTTCCTACTTTTGTAGAAGTAAATTTAAAAAAACTTTAATTTGTTCAAGTCGAACTTCTTTATGATAAACTGAATACAGTGTCGAAAAGATGCGTTTTAAAAACGCAGTATTTTATATTTTAAAGTTGGCTCTCAATGGGAATAGAGGAAGTGAAAAAATACTAAATTAAAAAACAGTAAATTTGGATTAAAATGTGTACTTTTTTCTAGTTTATTATTTTCACATTTTTATTAAAACCTTTTTATAGATCCTTCGATTTATAACGAAAATATAAAAAAAAACGGAGTTATTTATTCAACGAGTTTGAGTGTAAATCGGACTCTTTATTTGACCGAGTGGATTTTTACCATTTATTCTTCGAATTAGAGTCAACAAGGCTTAAACTTGCTTTAAGTCTGTTAAAAATAATTTGACGTTTTGTATTGAGAAATGCCAAACAGTTGTCAAAACTTCCTTACACGGGAGAAAAACGGTAAATTTTGACAGTGACGAATAAAATTCTTTAAAAAATAGTGACAAGTAAAAAACAAATATCTGTTAAAAATTGACAATTTAAGTTATCAAATGAATCAAGTGGCAATTCAATTTATGACATTCCTTTATTTTTCAAATTTAGGTTTGTAAAAATATAGGAAGTTCTTTGTTCATTTATTATTAATGGTAATAACTATTTTTAAAAACAATAGATTTTATTTAAAAAATATTTCTTTTGACCAAACTGGCCAGAGATTATAATATTAAGTTGGCATCATGTAGAGTACAATCCATGAAAATTGCCACTATGCTTTCAAATAAAATTTCGATCAAAGTGACCTATGACTATAAAATTAAGTTGGCAACACCGAATTATTGGTGAAATCAGAGTGTGTCAGGTGACGGCCATTTCAGCTGCCGCCCGTCGGAATGACAATTGACTATAAAAGTGTGACGTTTGAATCTGACAGTTTATGTTGCCAACTTAATTCCAAAGTCATAGTACACTTTGATCGGAAATTCATTTTAAAGCATGAGATTTTCTGTCTTTGTTTGTTCAATATTGCCGAATTAATTTCAAAAAAGCCTCTAAAAAACATGAAGTGTATTGCTGTCATTTATTTTATAATTATAAGACAACTAAAAAAAATTATCACTTATCAGCATAACATATAAACAAAATCAGGTTTTTAGATAACAAAAAATGAAATTTATTCAAAATAATGCATTACAATTTGCACAATGACGCTTTCTTAACGAAGATTTTCCTTATTCAAGGTAGCCAACTTAATTTAAAATTCACAGATCACTTTGATCAGATTGGATTATTATCACTGTTGTCTTCGCAAATAAATTTGGCTCCTCGAGACGATGAATAATTTTTGAGAAAAAAAATGGTTTTTTTTTTGTATTTTTGTTCAATTTAGTGAGCACGACCTTTTTTTTTCAACTTTTTTTGCAAAATTGTTTCTTAAATAACGTTCAGGTTTAAAAAAAAAACGCACAAGTTGACAATTGTCTATAAAAGTGTAACGTTTGAGTTTGACAGTTTATATTGCCAACTTAATTTTAAACTCATAGAACACTTTGATTGGAAATTTATTTGAAATGATATTTTTTGTTTATTTTGTTCAATGTTGACGAATTAAATTCAAAAAATCTCCAAAAAAAAAAAAAACAAAATGTATTGATGTCATGTATTTTATGAGGCAATTAAAAAAAATCTTATCAGTACAACTTGTAAACAAAATCAGGTTTTAAGATAACAACAAGTGAAATTTACTCAAAAATACGCATTAGAATTTGCACAGTGACGCTTTTTTAACGAAGATTTTTCTTTGTCAATGTTGCCAACTTAATTTCAAATTCATGGGCCACTTTGATCAGAAATTTAATGGCACCATAAAAGGATTATTATTACTGTTATCTTCGCAAATAAATTGGTTCCACGAAACGATAATTAATTTTTAAGAAAAAAAAATGTTAAAAAACAAAAAATACGAAACTCTAATAAATTTCAAGTTAGGTTTTTAGAAAACAAAAGGTGAAATTTCCACACCGCACGCTTTCCTGAACATGGTTTTGCTTTTAGCCGAGAAACTCTCCGTTTTGGTGCAAAACACCGCAAAAGCCTACCTTTCCTGCACCTCTCCTTGATTTTCCTGTAATTCCTGTCCATGTAAAAATTCCACTGGGACAGCATCTTGAGCCACTTCCTCTCCCTCCGGAGCACGATTTCCGGCGGGGGCCCTTGCCTAGGCTCGGGCGAGTACTGTGAGCCCCCCAAAAAACCGTGTCGGTCCGGCACTGTCGAAATGACACTTCCGTCAATAAGTGTGCTTGCTTCACTGCATTCCGAAATCGTGTCGGCGTTGAACGACGATGCCATTTCAGGGGTTGAAATGGAATTTTTCAAATTTCACATCGATATTTCACTTTCGCAATATGTTTTCAAGTCGTCGACTCGTCGTCAACCATTTTCAGGGCGGGCTTCAACTGGAAATAACGCAAATAATAGGACACTCACGTACGTAATTAGAATTCGGACGTGGACGGCGTTGGTAATTAATTGGTGATTAATTTATTACTCGGGGGGCGAGTCTCGCAGTGTTGACAAAAAGTGACACTGACGGAGGTTGGCACCACTGACTGAATGTCAATCGTACCAACCTTAATGGGTTTTTATTTATTTAAACATAATCAATTAATAAATTTGAAGAGGATTCTACATTTTCAACCGAATACATTAAATTTCACAATTAATTTTTTTATTAAAACCGTTGTTTTTTATTGACGCCTGGATTGCTGGTTGCATAATACACAGGTGTCTGCGTGATACAACTGATAAATGATTTTTTCCGAAAGTATTAGTCGTAACTTTCTTTGTTACCACCGTTAAAAAGCACTTTTAACCTTCTATCTTTCCCTAAAAAAATTAATTTATTGTGAGTAACAATTATCGAGAAAATTAGTAATATATGTAAAGGTTGTATTCGTCGATAATTTCTAAACTGTGTAGAATTTTGCTGTTTTCTTGACACCAATCAACTTCTCGCAACATTTTTCATACATCTAGTTTGAAACATTTTAATTTTGGATCATAGTTTCGCCGAAATTGGAAAAAAATGTTATTCACAAAATGGCTGTTTTCTTGGCGCTGTTGCCAGTTTTAAAATTGAAACACTGTGAATCTTGTACATTTTTATTCAACTAAAGAACAAATCGTGCTTCGCCCACCGGAAAAAAAACTCTTTTCACTTTTAAATCTTAAATTTATTGCAAGACTAGACCCATTCGATGCGGTGCCATACTTGGACACTTCCAATTGTACAAATAATATTGCAAATTGCCATCCCCAATCCCAAATTTGAGCGTCTCCAAAAACTCGCGATTATCCATCAGATCCAAGGCGTTGAAAACGTCGAAATTCAACTGTTTGGCCGAAATTAACGCATCATTCATCAAATCCACCCAGGGGGTTTCCCCCGACACGTTATAAAACGAATAAGCCGCCTTTAAACTTGTATGAACCGGATGATGCATCACTGTGGAGGGCAAAGTGTAATAACTGACGAAATCCGTCACTTTGCCCTCCTTCTCCACCACGAAACTCTCAACGATGTCGGGTCGAGGGAGGAACCAATGGATGAAATCCTCCTCGGTGAAAACCGGCGACAAATCGAATTTTCTCAAGTACTAAAAAAAAACACTTAGGGAAAATTTTTAATTAAAAAAATTGTTACTTGAGTTAAAAGTTTGTGTGTTTGGGGCACATCCGCCTCCGTCATTTTCCTAAATCCCGGAGTTCTTGGACTTTCCGGGAGTTTGTAAAGTTTGAGAGTCCTTTGCATAGTCATGTTTCGCGACAAGTGTGAAAATTTCACTTCGATTAGTTTCTTGGGGTTGAGAGACCTGTGCCAATACCGACACGTCCCCACCGGCTTCGGTAGGACGATTCCGGCGGTGTAAACCGCCTGGAAAAGTCCGGTGAGGTGCACCCGTCGTGTAATCTCCCGGATTAAAACCGGAGCGACTCGTTTCGAGCGCAATCTTTTATGCACGCAGAGGAAATTGATCTCGACCATTTTCTGCATCTTTTCGTAGATTTTCAACGTTGCGGGAATGGCGGAAATGAAACCGACGAGACGCCCACTCTTGACCACACGGACCCCACAATGCCAGTCTTTGCGCCACCCGGGGGGCTGTAGCGCCCACTTGAGAAACTCCGGTTGGTAGTCGAAACGAAACATGCAGTCGTCGTCCTCCACGTAGTTCTCATTGAGCAACGTGTAGAGTTCTTTGAGGACGAGGGGCTCATCCAGGTTGAGAGTGTCCCAGGTGAAGCCGTCCGGGAGGCTGTAGGGCTCCGCCCTGATCTCCGAGACATCTCGATCGGGCTCAATCGCTTCATTCACCGTGATTTTCTCATCTGTAAACATGAAACTGGTGAAAATTTCGACGAATTTGTGCCCATTTACCCATTTTAGGCACAGGTTGGGTGTTCCAAAACTGGTACGACTTGGTTAGGGCTTCTTCGGGGGTTTTCGCCGGTTTCTGGTTCATGGTTAGGGCTTCCATGGCCGCACGTAAGCCCTGAATTGAGATGGTGTTCAGTGGTTTGGTAAAATTTGATAAAAGTTCGGCTTCATTTTCCGGTTTGGTTTCTTGGTGTTTCTTCTTGTTGCGTTTTTTTGAGCTAGGGGTTAAGCGAGTTAGGGTCAAGGGGCCCACCAAGGGGGTTACCTTTTTGTTTGGGAATTGCCTTCCATGTTTCCGTCGATTTGGGGCTTGTCGTCCGGCGAATCCTTCGCACCACTCTTGTCAGACATGATGACAGGTGACAAAATGACAAAAAAGACCAATAAAGATAAAAATTGATAAAACGACCACTTTTATACAGATAAAAACGATTTGAGTGAAATAAATTAATGTAAAACCTAATTACAATTGATTTTGTACACGATATTGGGTTAAAAACGTTTATTGGGCAAGTCAACGGTGCCAACAGCAACACCCAAAATCACTAAACCAATTAGCACTTCTGCGAATTTGATAATTATTTTAACCAAGTTATTAAAAAAAATCAAACCAATTGTGTTTTTTTATTAACTATATTGATTTAAACTTTTTAGCTTTTCTCAATAATCAATTTTTGATAAAAACAAATTTAGCTCAGTTAGGTTGGCGACATTATTCATCTTCGCACTTGTGGGATTAAATATGACGTCAATTTTGTGACTCGAATCCAAATTTTAAAAAATGTCTCACGAGACGTCCCTTGGTGTAGTGGCAAAATTAAGTGGTTTATTGGGCACAAATGAGCCGGCTCTACGTCTCTTACTTACAATTTTAGCTGGTAAGTGTCACACAAAAAATCAATTATAACATAACCTCAATTACGTTAAAACCACCAAAACCGAGAAAATCCACGTTTTATAAATGAAACCAATTAGTATGTTTTGTGATAACGCTAATGTAACGGTTGCATGAAGTTTCACGTTTTTATTCTTGGAGAAAATTGACAAAATCGTTGCTTTTTTGTAGGTTACCCTTTGGCCCTGGTGCATCGCAAATACGTCTATGGCAGGGCCCCACCCGTCCAACACCTCTTTTCAATCACTTGTGGATTGCTCTTAGGCTATTGGAACTACGGCTTTGATATTTTCCACACAATTTTCGCCATAAGCGTCACCTACGCAGTATTAACAATTCTAGGGGGCACGTCTTTAAGCGTTGGGATTGTTTTTGTTTTTAATCTAGTTTACCTCTTAGCCGGTAACCCCCACATGGATAGAGTCACAAGGCATTAAAACTGTCTCTTTAGGGTATTATTATGCCGGGACGGATACGTACGACATTAATTGGACTATGCCCCAATGTATCCTTGTTTTGCGCTTAATCGCCGTCGCTTTTGACTTGTATGACGGCCAACAGCCGGAGGAGTCTCTCGGGGGCGAAAACCGCAAAGTTGCCCTAAAATCATGCCCCACAATTCTGGAATTCTTCGCTCATGCCTTGTTCCCAGCGAGTTTCATGGTGGGGCCCCAATTTCCCATGAAACGATACCAGGATTTCGTGGCGGGGAAATTTGAGCGTGATTGTACCGAAGCTGCAATGAAGAGATTCGCCCTTGGAGTGTTTTATTTAATTGTGTTTCAAATTTTGGGGCTGTTTGTCTCCGATGATTATATGTACTCGGGGGAGTTTCAGGAGTTAAGTTTTCTGAAGAAAATGCTATTAATGGGGTTATGGGGGCGGTTCACGCTCTATAAGTACATTTCCTGTTGGTTGTTGACAGAAGGGGCGTGTATTTTATTTGGTTTGTTTTTTGTTTCTATTGGGGGTTGTTGATTGGTTGTGGGTGTTTTAGGGTTGGCTTATAACGGGAAAGGGGCCAATGGGGAGTCGCTTTGGAACGGTGTTGAAAACGTTAAGTTATCGACATTTGAAAATACAACAGAGTTCACTCATTACATACAATCGTTTAATATAAATACGAATCAATGGTCCGCTCAGTATATTTATAAGAGATTGAAGTTTTTGGGGAATCGACATGTTAGTCAGTTGGCAACATTGGTGTTTTTGGCGATATGGCACGGTTTCCATTCAGGGTACTACGTGTGTTTCTTCTTTGAATTTATGGTCGTTTATATGGAACGAGAAGTGATTAATTTAATTGAGACAATTTTACTTAATAACGAATTTATTTCAGGTCAAATCAATCGTTAGTAATAATACGCTATTGAGTGAATTCTTTTCCAATCCAGGAGTTGCACAAATCGTTAAAATTCTTTTAAGGATTTACACTTTTGTTTTTATGGGTTGGTGTTTGATGCCTTTTGCCCTTTTGAAATTGGATAAATATTGGAGTGCGTTTAGTGGGGTTAGCCATGTCGGCTCAATTTTCTTTTTATTGTGGCCTGTGGTTTATGGTCCCATTCTTAAGGCTGTTTTTAAGAGGGACAAGAAGAAGGAGCGAAATGAATGAAGTTTTTTAGTATTAAATTGTAGTCACACGTACTTATATGCAATTTTTTCAAATTGTCACAGCACAATTATAGTATTTTTTATTTATTGTACGTTATTGTTATTAATAAATTCTCTACAAAACAACAGCAGAGTTTTCTTTAAGAAAAATCGTCATTTGCATTTAATTTTTAGAGCGTGACATCTCGGTAGGTCATGAAAATTCAAATTTAAGGTTGCAACATTGGTATTTTGACAGTTCTAGGTTGTTTATCTTTGTACGATTGCACTCACTGGTTGACATTTGTCGAGATTTTTGTTCATTTTCTCTCCTAGTTTTCTTTCTGTTCCACGTTTCTTCAATATTATTATATTAAACAAATAAGTTATGTTTTTTTCTGACAGAATTGAACCGATTTTTCATGAAGTATCGCGATCTAAAAAATGTTCACATTAATAATTTTTTTGAAACTAAAATTAAAGTTTGATTTTCAGCCTCGGCTGCAAATTCAAATTTTACCATTCGCTTTATCTATAACTTTAAAACATAACTAAAAATATTAAATTAATGATTTTAACAATTTTTTTTTTTTAATTTTTGTCCCAAATTAATAACCTTTCAATATGTTTCACTTTTTTATTTATTGATTTTTAATGCCTGGGAAGACAATAAAAATTAAGAATCAGGAATTAAAAACATGATTTGTTCAATATTTTTAATAAGTTTATATCTAAATTTGAAGAAATTTATGTTTTATTTTTTTATGACATAATTTCTGGTTGTCAGGACAAAAAAAAATCGTAAAATGCCACTGTTTTACAAAAATCCTCATGTATATATTTTTTAATAAAAATCCACTAATTAAATTAAAGAAAATAATTAACCAGAATTCAAATTTTACAATTCAAGAAAAAAATCTCTTAAATAAACACCAAATGCATTTTACAGATTTTCGCGCGTAGTTTATTCAATTTTTCAAATAGTATTTTTTATTTATTGTGCGTTATTATCGATAGAGTTTTGTTAAAAAAAATCGTGATTTGCATTAAATTCTCTTTAATTATTACATACATAACAATGTTTCTTGAATTCATTACAGTGAAGGTTCGTTGCTAAGGTGCCATGCAGCGCCATCTGTAGCCTCTTACTTTGCTAAACCCGCCTTAAGAGTGTGCGTGATTGTCGAGAAACTGAAACCACCGCCAAATTTCAAATAAAATCGCTTTTAATTGGCAATAACAATACACAAAAATAACAAAAAGTGAAAAATTCGAGTAGTCATGGCCGAGTTCGACTCTTTGATTGTAGTCGTGAGGGCTTTCTCCCTTTGGAACAAATTCTTGGCCAACATTCGCATTTTGGTGATTTTGTCATCGAAGATGGCATTGGAGGAGTTCGTGGGGACGTCCACATTGCAGTAGTTTTGGTCGCAGCACGAGACACACATCTGGAACACAACCAAAATTAGAATTTAATAAAATTGTGGGTTGTGTTGGTATATCGACCTTTTGCGAATCGATTTCGACACATCCGATTTTATTCCTTTGACACTCTTTGTCTGTAGTGCACTTCTTGTTGACGAGCACACTTGTGCCTTTCGAGTCCATTATGTGCAAAGTGTGGCAAAAAGTCTCGCCTGAAAAATCGAATTACCATTTTCAATTAAAACTAATTGGATTTGTCACTTGGTATTAAAACCGTCAAGAAGGCGGGCTAATTACGTTAAGAGCAAGGAGGTGCGCGCTTTTTACCACCGAAATCCGCAAATATTTCAATTTCAAATCTGTTAAGCTTTTGGAAGTTTACTGAAAACAAATTTAGTTTTATTCAACTTTGCAGATTTGCATTACAGTGGTCTATGGTTTAGAATTAAGTTAGCAACCCTAAATTATTGGTGATATTTGATTGTGTTAGCCTGACGGCCTTGTCAGTGGCCGCCTCTCGAAATGATTGACAATTGACTCAATATTGCCAACTAAAATTTCAAATTTGTGGTTAAATTTTTAACAGACAAATTAACATAAAATTGCAACCTCGGCTGCGAATTCAGATTTTATTATTTCAATTTATCTACAGCTTTAAAAAATAATCAAAAACACTAATTAAATTTAACTGATTTTATTAAAAAAAATGAAAAAGACGAGTTTAAGAAACTTAATAACTTTTCAATCCGTTTCACTTTTCTATTTATTATCAGAATCCTTATTGTTTAAATTTTTATGTTTATTTTCTGAAAAATGATCACTGCCTTTTAATTTCTGGTTAGGTCAGGTTAGGTCAAAAAAAAAATCGTAAAAGGCCACACACCTACATTTTTAATAAAATATCACTAAATTAGCTCAATTAAAAAAAACTACAATTCAAAATTTACATTTAAAAAAATGTCTTAAATAAATAATTTTTTTTTAAACGAAAATAAAAAAAAGTGGAATTAAATTAATTCCACTTTAATAATAATAATAAATTAATTAATACAGGGTGATTTTTAAAGAACGGCAGGCGCTGTAGAATTTTTATGTATGGCCCGATTTCAAAAATTAAAAAAATAAATTAAATAGCTTTTTATATAGTATAAATTGACAATTTTAGATTTTTTCTAAATGTCAAGGTATATTTTAGGCTATCTTTAACTTTCTAATTTTAAATTGGAACTCTATAATTTGTAAGGTTGTTTTCTTGGTACAGATATGTGCAATATGTTTCACTTTTACTAAAAATTATTGTCTAAAAAATTATCTTTACATCTTTACAAATACTCTTATTAAAAGTAAACAAAATAAATAATTAGATAGTAATCAAATAAATTAATCACACTAAATTAGATGTGTTGTTCTGATTTGTGATAGGTAATTATTATTGTCATTTTTTATTAAAAATTTGAAAAAATAGTGACAATATTTTCTGCTTTTTGACGTTACAATAAGGCATTGTTTTATTTCACACCATATTTCCTTTTATTAACTTTTTTAACAATGATTTTTAAAATTTAAAATTATTAAAACTAAAATATGAGTCTCAATTTAAAATAAGAAAGTTGAATGTAGCTCATAAAATACATTTTTTATAGGAAATTAAAAGCCATTTAATTTATTTTTTAACTTTTGAAATCGGACCATAAATAAAAAATCGACATTGCTTGCCGATTTTTAAAAATCACCTTGTATATGTAGAACACTTATTTATTAATTTTTTTTTTCAAAATTAACGATTTTTAATGTCTGACGGTAAAAAAATCAAGGAAAATATGTGTATATATAATATATAAATAATTATGACACTTGAATTTAGTAGTCAGTGTTGCCAACCTAATTTCAAAGCCATATGACACTTTGATCAGAAAAATCTCATTCAACTTCGGAGTTTGTCAAATACCAACTAGACAAAAATAAAGGACATGGCATGCCGAGACCAGCGACGTTCTTGTAATTACGAAATGAGAAGTAGAAAAAAACGAAAACTTATTATAACTTCGCAAAATGCAATTTCCAATTTCCTTTAATAGACTCGACGACAAAACGTCAAAGTGGCCTTTTGTTTGCTCACTTATTTCAGTTTCAGCAAGTTAAATTAATTTCACGGCAAAGGATTTAACAGAGAAGATAAAATTTGACAAAATGTTTCATATATTTATGACGTCATAAAAGTTCCATCGAAATAAAAGCATGTCCATCGATTTTCACTTTTTCCGAAACGACTGTCATAAAAACGAAAACCCTTCGTCGACATATTATTTTACATGAGTGTATTTTTTGCTGAACTATCAATTCATCATGTAGACTCCATTTCGAGTCGGTAAGAATCGGAGGTAGGCAACCAAGAATACTCACCGGGTTTGCAGGGCCGATCAATGGCGAACTGATTGCACACGAGATTGTCCGAAACGTTGACACAGATGTAACAAGTGACGGAGTATTTTTCAAAATCGTTGGAAATTTCCCGTTTCTCTATGAAAAAGTTGGAAGCCAAGTGTTTGTCATCTAAAGCGGTATTAGTCATGAAAATGCAGCTCAACAACATGCTCAGTCTCAACATCACAATCTGCAACAAAAACGTTACAAGAAACCACCCAAGTTTCGAACTTTTAGGAATATTACGGTTTTTATGTTGTATACAAGGTGTGTCAGAACTCGCGCCCCAGAGAAAAATTTCATGTAAGATAAGATACCAGGAACATGGAAAAAATATTTAAAAAATTCTATCTGTCAAAAAATTTTGACATTTTGTTTTGTAAATTTGACATTTTTTTATTATTATGTAGTAAAGATACAAAAATTTTGCCAATAAAAGCTACAAATAACATTAAACTAAGTTACAATTTAGGATACAGCTTCCTTGTTTCTTCTAATAGTCTGTAGTAAAAAAAACTTGGAAAATTATTTTTTCAACAGAAATAAATAGACGCAAAGTGCAAAATTTAAGCTCTCATAACCTCGAAATTTTTATAAATAGATTTTTTTAACATTTTTTCCATGTGCCTGGTATTTTACTTTACATGGGATTTTTCTCTGGGGCGCGGATTCTGGCGCACCCTGTATAACTACAAAAGTAATTTTCAGTTCTCAAGGTTGTTTATATAAAACTAATTTTTAACTCTAACAAAGAAAAATAATTTTTTTTTTAAACAGAAACAAAAATTGAAATATAAGATATGTATTAAAAAATGAAATAAGAAAATCTGTCGTAAAAATCGTAAAACTCCATTTTAGACCTGTTTGTGTTTTAAATTGATATGCCTATTTTTCACTTGCGCAAACCTGTGTATAAATACTTTCAAAAAAACGCGAATTTTTTCGAAAAGTCTAAACAATCTTTTTCTAGGCAATTACTGCTAGGTTTTGGGACATTGCTTTTCCACTAAAAGATTTTCTTTTCTTAAGAGTAGAAAAAAAAATCTTTCAACAAAAGACAAAATTAAACAATAAATTTATGTGTTGGTAATTTCGTCTTGCAGCAAGTTAGAAGTTATGAATTTTAAGTTGCCCTTTAGTTCTGCTTAGATATTCATTGTATTGTCGGAATGTAAGACTCTTAACTCATTTTCTAATTTCTCCTTAACAAATAGTATTGGGCCAATCATACACAAATCTTTTGGAAACTTCTTTTGAAATATACGAAATTTATCACTATTTAAAAGATTTAAAAAATCTGGAAATTTAAATTTAATTTGTGTAGCTATCGTATTATGTCTAATATTTCCTTAAATAATCTCACACAGCGAGGAGGGGTTTTGGGGGTTAAAATACTTATGTATAAAATATTATAATATTTTACATACAGGCTGTCCCAGAGCTCCGTATTTCTTCGATTACTCTGGCAATAAAGAAGATAACGAAATGCGGTTTCTTTTAGACGATAAACATTCATTTTTTCTATGGTCCAAAAATATTTTCGTCATTGTAAGTACTTCCTATATAGGGTGGCGCAACAAAGTTATATTTTTTCTTATGGAACACCGATATATTATGCGCTTATTTGAAAGAATTTTTAATTCTAAGAATATCCATATTAGGTTTTATGGGTCTATCATGGACCGTTTATCATTTATGGGCCATTTTATGAAAAAAAGTACCATTTTTGAAAAATCACAACGGCTTTGCTAGAAAGAAAGAGTGAATAAAAACAATTGCAACCATTTTACCGAGTCTGGTCCTAAATTATTACGGTTGAAATTCGATCAATCTTTTGCAACTACTGCAGAGTGTTGACATTCGCAAAGTATCAAGTAACTTGATTTTTTTAAATAAAACACCCTGTGTATTGTTATTTTATCGTGTAGAGCTTTTAATAAGCTTTTTCTAAAAAACTTATGGTTCGGAGGTCTAAATTTTAACTGTTTTATTGTATTGTTACACCTAGGTATAGGGAAGGCTAATGAAAACTCTTTTAAAATCACATAAGTCATCCAAAAACGCAATAAAAAACATAACTTTCTATTTAAAATAACGAAGTTGATATCCACTTCCGGTGTAACAGGAAGTGCCGCCATCTTGAAAATATTTTCATTGAGCAGAACCTAACTGATTAACATAATTTTAGTTAAAAATTATTGTTAGAACTTCCAATACTTCTAATGTGGGGTTTAGCCGGAACACCCTGTATATCAGTGATAATTTCAGAGTGAAGTAAAACTCCACCTCTGGCTGCGCCACTGTGACTATATAAAGATTTTCAAACTCTGGGAAAAACTACTAAAGACCCAAATGAAATTTTAATAAATAATTACCTAAACATTTCAGAGTTGAGTAGCTTTAAAGTGATAGGAATCTAATTACGGGAACCCTCGAGGTGCATTTACATAACTTGTGCTACAGGATAGCGACGACTAAGTAAACAGAACGTTTAATTGTCTGGCGCTACGCCACTGGATGAGATTTTACCAGTGGTGTAGACACAATAGATAAACAAGTTATGTAAATGTGTCTCGGTTGATGTTCTTTGATGAATCTCAGGGGTTCACAATAAACAACTCAACACCCACTTTACGTTATTAGGCCCCTATCACTATTAGCTATCTTCACGCTAAATTATTTACATCATCAATTTATTAAAAGGGTTGCAAGGTTTATAGTCTTGCTGATGTTTAATTAAAATCGACCCGAGAACGTAGTTTTCTTGGCCTATTTGTATTGTTTATAGCGCTATAACTGTTTAGTTGAGTGTTTAATATTCTTGTGAGTGATGGAAATTAAGTTTTTTGGCTTTGACAATAATTAAAAGTTATAATTACAACGAATGTTGTTGCTTTTTTGCACTTAGTTGCAAGTTTCTCTCAAATTTAATTAGAAAATTTGAGGAGGAGAAGACGTTCCCTGATAGTTAAAAGTCTCATTACCAAAAGTTGAATTTTGGGTTGACCATGTTTGCATATTTTGTTTAAAGTCAAGTTTCATTAATTGAGAAGATTTGGATTGAGTTTGCGTTATTCTAAACTGCTTGAGGCCGTTTCTGGTTGTTCAACCGTTAAATAATTGCCTGGTTTAGTTATCTCCCTGTGCAAATGTATAAAGATGCTTTTTCATCGCTTCTTGTTAAGTGACATGACATATAAAATAGGAAACTATTGATCGTAGAGTATTTTAACCTGTTGCATCGTCTAATTTCACGTGTAGAAAACCATATTTCAAGCGTTTTTACGACAAAAAGTTGATATTTAATTTTTAGGTACTCAAACAATACTTTGAAAATTGTTTTAATGCGTTTTTGGGTTTAATGATTTGACCTCAATAAAAGAAGAATTATACAGGGTGTGTCAGAACTCGCGCCCCAGAGAAAAATTTCAAGTAAGATAAGATATTAGAATATGGAAGAAATTGACATTTATATCTATTTAATGCGTTGTCTGCGTTGATTGCCAGAAATAAAGTCTGGGCAATAGGCCAAAATCGTGAACTTGTCAAAATGGTAAATTTCGGTAGATGGCGCACGCGTCACGTCCAAAGGAAACTGTAATTTGTGAAATTTGAAAATTTGCAGGAAATTAAATATGACAATTGGTGATATATTTAATCAAATATTGATCTGACACACAACCAATCTATTTTTTCAGCTTAAGAAGCGCATTATCAGTAGTATCATTGTTTCAGACATTACATTATAATTCTTAAAATGCCAAGTATCCAAACTTGCTGTGTTCCAAACTGTGGACAAGGGGGGAAAGAGGATGTTACTTTACATTAATTTCCAAAAAGTAGAAATCGAAAAAACGAATGGCTTAAGAGAATATTTGGTACCATCGGCAATATACCCGTGATTTGTGGAAAACACTTTGAAATAACGAGCTATTATAAAAACAAAAAATTGTTACCAAATGCAGTTCCGTCCTTGTTGAATTATAAAAGAATTATTCGTTTTCAGATAATTTCAACCACTTCCAAATTCAGGACGTAAGCCGTTAGAAACGCCTGCACCGTGTCTCCAATCTTTAGACTCATTTGACAAAAATTATTTAATTTTAAGTCCATTTCGTTTTGATTTTGATCAACAAAGAGATTTAAAAGTAGGTGTTACTCATGACTTTGATTTAAAAACTGTTCCACATGTAATAAGTTCTGAAAAAAATTGTCTTTCTAGATAAAATTCAAAATTTAGAAAAAAAGGTACAGGAAGAAATTATGGCATTTCAAAAGTTGAATAAGCTCTACGAAAATAGATTCGAAAAACTAAAGAAAATGCAGGAAAAAATTGACAATTAGAGTAAAGGACAACATTGTGTAGTGAAAATTGAGTCAGATGCAAAGAACTGAGAACCAAGGGCTGTGTTTTTACTTGAGCAAATTTATAATTATTCCCTAAAAAACCCAAGATGGTCTGAAGTTACAGTACGTCATTGTATTGCCTGGAGGTAAAAGATTATGAATTTGCAAGAAGAAGTCAATTTTTAAAAGCTCCATCCAAAACAACTTTAAAGAGATAAATGGGAAACTCTCAAGGGGTTTTCTCAAAGCAAATAAATAATAGAGAATAATAGAGAACTAACTAATAGAGGATAAAATTAATCCTTGTCTTTTTTATTCGAAGTATTGAAGGAATAATAAAGAGTTATTGTAATTTTCTTGAAAATTTGTAAAGATTAAAAATAACTTTCTAACCCTAATGTAAATATTTATTTTTTTTTAATAAATAAAAGTATATTTGCTTATAAAATGTTATATATAATTTTTGCTGTTTTTGGTCTAGTTCTTAGAAAAATTACAATCAACAAAAAATTATTATACAACCCTAAAACATAAAAGTAAATTTTTGTATGCAAGAATTTATCAAGGTTTCAAACCAAAGTATACAGATTCCATTGGAACGCGGACTCATTACTCCCCCAACGACCATTTTTTTGACATTGGATAGACTTTCTATTACTGTCAATCAACGCAGACGTCGGTATCATTAAATGGACATAAAAAAATCTTAAATGTAAAAAAATTATTGTCAAACATTTTTGAGAGATAGAATTTACTTAGGTATAAAGAACGTCAATAATAACTCTCATAGAATAACTCGGGGAATACTAAAACGCCATAAAAAACATAGCTTTCCATTTAAAA